CAGAGAAAAGTAAAAAGTGATGATAAAGTGAAGCCATAGAAAGTTTGTTTTCGCACATTTTTACGATTTTTCTTGGAAACCAAAAATATTTTCTGTTATGCTTTGTAAATATTGATTAATATTTGATAGACAGTTCAAATAGTAGTTGGGAAGTCAATCCTTCCTTAACTAGCTGTAAATAACTTCTAAATTTAAGTTTATATGTGCCACTCCGTAACTTGTCTTATTTTCTTTCTGTTTCTTACAGACGCTCGGTTTACATCTGGATGCGCATTTTAAAATTGAACAAGAACTTTAAAAAGATCTGAACTGGTTTTTTACCATTAACGTTTCCTCTAAGTGCTGGCTGATTCTAGCAGAGTAACGCATCATAGTTGATCTTTTTTTTAGATAAGGTTATTTGCATATGAAATCACATAATCACATTCTCTTCGATTTTTCCACATTTTGTTTTCAATACAATCAACAACACAGGTACAACATACACATTGACAAACCTTGCAGATCTGGATGTCTTAGTGTAAAACTATTTCGGTCACGTTTTCCGTATTGTTTTCTTTACCAAAATTCCAAATTTCCTAAATCAAACTTTTGCCGTCGTGGTAAAACCCACTTAGGAATTCCTCGCATTATATTTCATTTTTCTTCTATGCAAGAGCAGTCAAACTCGCACGTAATGGAAGGCAAATTTTTCAGAATCCATTTTTTCAAACTGTCCTTTAATCATGGCATTAGGACTGTGTCAGCTTGCAACTCTCTTCATCGCTTGAAAAAGAATGACAATAAATGCCTATTGGTACAAGCGCTGAAGATTGCAAGCTAACATCAATTTTTCAATCAAAAATATAACAAATTGCAAAGGAGATTTGGCTCATCTTTACATACTTTTTAGATATAATAAGATTCCAGAACAAGCTCGAAAATTTCGATATCAAGAGATCGATCCAAAAATTTTTGACACGTCAAGAATGAGGTTGTTATTTCTGAGGACTTCTTGCAATTATGAAAAAATAACAACCAAACTCAGTCTATCTTCAAACTGAATAAAGTTATCGACAAGTTCTTAGGAAATACATTATTTGTTCGAATATTCTCCAGACTGTATAGAAGTTATGATCTTTTAAGCAGATCTAGTTATAAACTGAAATTTACGCCTATTTTATTTTGAAAAAGCAAGGCAGCGCCTGTTGTTCTTTACTCCTAATCAACATCTTGAACATTCGAATGATCTAATATGCGCGATAACATCAACAAAAGACAAAAAAATGATTAGGTAGCATAAATTGATGGACCAAGGTGTCAACAGCGAATTCTGATAGTGGAGTGACGTGAAGTAGCTTAAGATAACTCCGATAAATATTGCACCTATGGAGAGTTTTTGAATAAAAGCGATAGATTATAAGAAAAATTTCTAACATTTGAATTTTATCAAATTTTAAGAAAATTAAGATAGTCGAACTATAACAAAACATACGTACAGATCTTTTGCTTCAATCGCTGGTAAT